TATCAGATGGAGCTGAAGAGTGAGCAGTCCTTGCATGCTCAGTCCCCATCTACAGCCACATTAACCTAGATCCTCCTCTCCTTTATCACCCGAGTAAAACACAAAGACAAAAGAATTGGAGCAGCACACTTTACTTTATTTGTAATGTTTCTAAACATGTCATTACTGAAATAAGTATTTCTAATTAGTTTCCCAAGAGGTAACACATTAGGGAAAATATTTTTAATTGAATAAGTACCAAGAGCATAGAAAATGGTTAAATGAGCTGCAATGACAGTAATTTTTAAATCTTTTTTATCTCCCATAACACGGAACAATATTGACTTTGAGATGTAAGGGGAATCAGAATGAGGACCTATAGGCTGGTGTGATGTGAATGTACCAAAGATAATGCAATGGCTCAAATAAGGAGGGGTTACTGACACGCTTCCATTGCAGCTCTTAAAGCTGTCTGTGATTAACTTGCTCTATAAAGTTTTTTTTTTTCCTTATTAGCTGCCCTAACTCTTTACCCCTCCTCCACCCGCTGCACCTTCTCCTCCGCTGCTCTTGCAGCCTTTTCGTTCCTCCTGCCCTCAGCCCATTGGAGATACAAAGTATTCATTCACATTTGGATCCTGAGGTCAGAGCAGGGCCAGCAGGGAGAGACCAGTGAGTCCCCCCATAGACAGGTCAGGAATCTAACACGTAACTCTGACCAGCAGCACCGAAGTAGCCTTACTCGTCGTTCCTTTCAAAAACCGTGGTACTGTGTGGGAGAGCAGGGAGCGAGGGCATAAGTGAGTGGAGCACAGAGACAAAATAGACATTCATTTTGCATGAGCCAAACTCCCTGACATTCGGTGCATTCATTTTCTGAGATATTACCACACAGGATGTTTTAATTTGATGGAAGTATCATTGCTTAAATTTCAGTTTTTCTACATATAAGTTTGAGTGTTTTGACAGCCATTTCAAATATACATGTATATATTCAGTCTGTCCATTCTTAATTTAGTTTGATTTCGGCATAAGTAATGCAAGTGGCAATTATAGTTTCTGATAATATCACCCTACAGTTTATTAGATGTTCATTAGGAACACATATTTCGTCTTTGTTTTTGGACATGTTTTTCTCAGTTGAGGTTTAATGAGTTGTACCTCATGAAGACTTGAGGAGAGAGCTTCTAACAGTGTCAGTGAAGGTGGGGGTATTAAAAGTTAGAAGGGTTTTGCTGTTTATTTTGCTTTAGAAGAGGGAGGAGTGTCCTGTGTACGGAGTGCAGAGGTGCTGATATGAGGAGCGGACAATGCATGAAGGCTCTCAGCATGGGTCCTATGTCTCATTGTCCCATGGTACCCTCCTGTCACTTTCATTTTGCGCCCTCTAGTCCAGAGTCAGGCCAACTTTAATACATGGAAGGGGAGCACTGGGTGTGGGGGGAGACAGAGGGGGATGCTTAAAAGACGAAGTAGGGGAGAAAGATGGAGTCTGTGAAGTGTGAAATAAGATTGCTTTTTATCCGACAGAACAGCGCTATGGAAAAGGAAGCTGTCCACCCTGGGATAAAGCATGGGGGGGCGCACACCTATCTGATTTACTGTACAACCCTGTGACACCTGGCTAAAACTGATGACAGCGGCTTTGATAATGATAATGAGAGTAATGAGGACTTAGGGACAGAGCCACAGCCAGAAGGAGGCAGAACACAACCTTCCTTCCAAGAACTCAGGCGCCCGGCAGAGGAAGAAGTTCAACTCATCCCTCACAGGGGTGACCCAGGGCACATGCATGTCAAACGGCAGCAGGCATTAGTGTTGTTGTCTGAGAACTGAATATGCAGCAGAAAATAGTTTGAGAACCACAGGAGCCGTTTTCAGGTGGGACTGCAGTTCCGCACTTTTAAAAGGCAGTTACCATCATAGCGGTATATTCAGCTGAGGCCGCGGACGGAGGAGGAGCCTGACCCAGTGAAAGATATCCAGAGTGACTATTATTACTTGCTGCTGCTCTTCTCTACAGTCTGGGAAGGAATACTGGAAAGTGCAGTGGTTACCATCAATTATTTATTAGGCCGTTTGTGCTTGTCAGTCTGATTAGCATTAGTGTAATCACTGCTCTTCGGGGGAAAAGGAAGACTGCTCTCTCTCATCTGAAGGTAATCTTTCCATTTTCAGTGTCTCATCTTCACCGGACAGCTTTTGCATGGCATCTGCTTTTGTCATCTCCACATATTTCTTCCCATTTTCCTTTCCCCATGTGTTTCTGTCTGATGCTGTTCGGCCCCTTCCCCCCACACCTCATTAATGTGTGCGAGCAAGTTGCTCTCTCCCAGCTTGTATAGAGTGACACCTATGGGTTTGAGTAGGCCTTTGCAGTCACAGGCGAGGATGAAAAACTCATGGGGAAAGGCTGCAAAGCGCCTGAATGATGTGTGTGCGTGTGTGTGAATGGGTGCGTGAGCGAGCGTGTGTGTGTGTGTGTCTGTCTGGGAGACGCTGGGACAGAGAGCCCATGAACTGTCCCCACTGAGTGACTGGCAGAGGAGGGCTGAAATTTATATGCTCAGAACAGATGAGTTTAATCTTTGTGTCGGCAATAGGCTTATTCAGTTTGCATGATTAGATTAATGGAACTGTTTCATATCATTGTATTAGAATGGTTAATGAAGACAATTAATTAGAAGACAACCTTCAGGCTATTGTCCTTTACATCTTTCAGATTTGGGTTAGAAATGGCCCACTGCCATAGCTTTGAGTGTTTCTCCTAATCTATTTCCAGAGTTAATCTGCAGCTGCAGTTTTAGTGTCTCTTCCATTTGCATCCTACTCTTAGGCCACTCGTGACCTTTCATTAATTAAAGTCGACCTAGCTTTAATCATTCTGTAATGCGGTTGTAGATGAGACAAGAAATGGGCAAAACCATTTGCCGCTTAGAGATGTGAAAGCGCTGCTGGAGTCATACGTCTGCATTTCTGTATAAATTATGTATGGGGCTCTGTGTTGTGCAGGCTCAAATTGTCATGCATGTTGATTAAACATCTCGATAAAGCAAAATAAAAACATGATGGGGGAGAAACATATGTGTACACATATGTGCAGGAATCGTGTTTGTGCTCGATTTTGGGGGCGGGTACACGGAAGCTAAATAGCTTTAAAATGTAGGCTGCCTATCATGGTAATGTTTGAGAACAAAGTAAGTATTGATGTGTGGGTGGAGAATTAGTCTCACTACATGTGTCACATAGCAGGAATTGACACATTGCCCCATTTTTAAAGGTTAAAAAAAATTTACCTGGGGATTATTTTGTAATCTAAGCACCTATGCAGCTGCAGAGCATCCTAATTCTCAAGCAGCCGTGGAGATTTATGCAGACATGAGGTAGATGGGATTAAACAACCCTGCAGAAGATTTGGACTCTTTTAGAGAACATTTGGTGTTCCTTTGAGCAGCCCGGAATGTTCTAGATAAAATTAAAAAATTTTTTACATTTAAAGAATTTTTAAAAATTACTTAACTATTTTGTTTCTTGGTGTTGGCCTCGCCTTTAAAATGTTTATTTAAACAATGAATTGCCAGAATCCTTACACTTTTGACTCCTCTCAGACAGCTGTTTCCTACAACAACTACATTGACAAGCAGGAAGTGCTTGCTAGTTTGTGGCTGGGAATAAAAAAGGTGTTTCCCGTTCAATTATTGTATTGTTTTTTTGCTATTGGCATTTGTTACAGCGTAGCCTCTTTAAGCAATGAAACAGTTGTGTGAAAAGTTATGTATCTTATTTCAGTAATTTTCTTGTAACTATTAATTTTTATGCAACTGAAGATTTGCGGTGGATTTTTGCTTGTTTCTTTTTTGTTTTAGGATGTATCTCAGTTATGACCCTGACCTTAATAATGAGGTTTGTTGATGAGCAGAAGCATTCACTAATTGAGAGAATTAACAGGGAGTGATGGGGGACAGTGTAATGTCATAAAAGCGGTTTTGGCTCATGGTATTCCTGCAGTGAGCTCAAACTAGATGCGCAATGACTGCAGGGCTGAATACTTGACCAGGATATTTCAGTAGCTGTTGTACTTTTGTCAATATATCAATAGCTCATAGAGTAGAGACCGAGGCATGAAAGCATTTTCAAAAGAGCATTTAAGTACATTTGCTGAGAATTAGCTGACTTGTGTAATAACTGATAAAGCCTATCGACTGCGGCCTAGTTTACTGTTGTCAAATCAATGCTGTTGCATGCAAGTCTCTCTACTTTTAAACAAACTTAACAGGCAGAGGGGATGTTCACAGGGCACTGGAGGGAAATAAACATGATTGATGCGCTTTTTATTATCTGTTTTTGCTATCTTTTCCTCTGTGTGTTACTTACAAATGGAGTTATTGGATATCCATTGTTGGGACTTTGACGCTCCTAAATGGCCCTGATATATTGAGCTAATGCTTTTAAGATGGTTACAGGGGATTTCTGACTTTGACTTGGCATAAAAATACATTGAAAGTTTTAAATATTTATGATTTTTTAATAGTAGAATAACAGAAGAGAAACTGGGTTATTGGTATTGGTTAGTAATTTAGTAGATTGCAGCAGGGGACAGTGAAATGTGTGTGAGAGAATGGTGTGTGATAAAATGTCTATTTCTTGAAGGGTGCAGTTATTTTTCCATCTACTACTGGAACACATGTCTTCTTTTACTTTTGCAGTTTTGTATCCATTCTAAATAAGAATTAAAAAAAAACCTTCTTTCCTCTATGAATCAATATTTGTTTTCCTCTTCCCTCATGATTCAACTCTGATTTAATAATTCAAGTCTGACTAAATATTAGTGTTATCAGATACTGCAGCAATAGAAAGCAGATTCTGTCCTCTTTGTCTGCTAGCCTTGCAACTATGTGTCAGCAAATGTAATTGTTGTGAGCTCCTATAGAAAAAAAAAAAATTGCTGCCGTCCCTTTAAGTGCTTCCACCAATTCTGATGGTGTGGTGATTTACATATTCCGGTCTCCCTCCCCCTTCAGGAGAGCTGAGCGAGGATGTGGAGGCTGCTAGTGAGACCACCACAGATCAGGAGGACCAAACCAAAGACAGAGAAAGTGGGGGGGAGAAGGAGCTCACCAAAGGGACAGGTAAGGCCAACATTAATACATTTTATTTCTGGGAGCACTATACACAGCTGCATGGCTGCAACTCCTGAGAGATGTAAACGATTGACCTTTTGTCTAACTAAATTAAACTTACTTTAATAAATTAAAATAAAAACTTCACAGGCTGTTTTAATAGTATGCTATTCAAATAAACAACACTGCACACTACAAATTTCACTAGGAACAATACAGATAGGGTAAGCAGTCAATCTATGTGATAAGTTGAGGTACCATGTGACTCTTGTTTTGTTTTTGCTCAATAGATGAACAGGGCCTGTGTGCAGAGTCCCATGTGATCCTCATTCTCAGCTTTGCCGCACACAGAGTTGGACACTAGCAATACTGAATGCATAGGATATTTTTTAATACCTATATTTCTATGTTTATCTATTATGTTGTGTGTATGCGTGTGTGTGGGGAGCGGGTGGAGGTCTCTTTAGCAGGGGCCTGAGCTCAGGTTGAGGGGAGGGGTTTCTGGTCTGAATTTCTGATTAAGCTTGCTGCTTTTCATTCTTCGAATGTTAAACACATTCAGAAACCGCATGACATGTTTTAAGGAGTTCTATTATTAGTTTTAAACAATCCACTTTAAATCTGTTTGTTGAAATGCACACACAGACTTTCCGAGAACTTAATTGCATGATGATATTTACATAATTTCAAATTTAATCAAACAGTGCATGGATGTGAAAGCTTTGGCATACTTGCAAGAAGTCTTTAAGTAACTAGAACATGTAATGGAGTCCCAATATTATGTTACCATTAGGGATGGACAATTGTTTTGTTGTTCACTGCTATTAGAATATAGAAATTGATGATCCTTGCAAACCCCCAAAGGCCTACATTCTGACATTATTGTTTGGACGGGTATGTCTGCAGAATTATTTTTTTCCACTGCTGATTCCCTAAGAGCATCAAATATTATAAACTGTGATTAAATGCAATTAATATATATATAATTTAATGGTACAATCTAATGTGAATCGTGTGTTAATAAAGCCTATTTGTTAATGAGTATATTTTATTTATTTATTACTTGTGCTTATGACGCTCTGAGAGAGATGACATTTTAAATGCTTTTTATTATCACTTCTATTATAGAAACTAAAAATAACATTTCAAGTTTTTTTGTTTTTTAGCTCATAGTTGTTATGATTCTCCACTGAGACAATGCAGTCTTTTAAACGTGTCTGCAGCTTTAGACACATATTTTGTCATGACTTAATATGCTAAAACAAATGTTAGCAAACTGAATGTAGCTGTAATATTGTTTGAAGCAAGTATTAAAAATAATAGAAAAAAAATGTTTTTCTACAAATTGACAGAGGCATGAAAACAATGAAACTCCAATAAATGAGAAGCAAGTTCACTTCAGTTCAAAATGAGGTTCTTTCCCATTACGTACCATGCATGTGCATCAGAGCATCAAAGTGCATTGAAGTGCATCAAGCTCAAAAAGGTTCATTTATTTACTGATTGCCTTGCTTTTCTTTGTTGTCTTTTTTGTTAAGACAGGAAAATATAACCTTGTTGCAGTTCTCTTTTTGGAGCTCTGCTAAATCTCAATGGCTCTAATACCAAAAACAAAGCTGTGAATTTAGATGTCTCATATACCATAGGAAGGGTGCTTGATTTTAATGACTCTGAACAGTGTCAGGCCTAGATAGATGCTCTTCACTTGTCTAACTTCTGGCATCTATCTTCCCTTGTCTTACTGTGAGGTGTTTTGATTTACACGAGTCAGGTTAAAAGCTGCAAAATAATCTGCACCTTTTGCATGCCAAAGTTTTTATAAAGTACAGATTAAAAAAAAAAAACTTCATCACAGTGTTTGAAGCCTTGCCTTTGTAAAACATCTTTGATATTTGAACTTCTATTTTAAATGAGGCTGAGTTGTTTGTGCTCTTTGAAAGGGCGACACTCCTCTTTGATGGAAGAAATAATGATATGCATGCCTGACTGAATATGGCTAAAAGTATGTTTTAGCACATCAAAATAAAGCACTTTAAAAAGCATTAAAATGAGCTGGCCGATTAATAATTCACTCATACCTGTGGTGCACAGGAAGACGACTCCTTGCATTAGGATTCCTCCTTTTTGAAAGGCATGCAATTTGATACAAGCATATTCAGTTCCTTTCCTCCTCTGTCAGTCACTAATCAGCAAATAAGAGTGTTTCTGTGTTTTCACAAAAGAAATATGTGCTTGCATATGAAAAATTTACAGCTTCCCCGCAGCTTATTAGAAACGCTTAGTTAAAAATAGCATTGCGTTAGGGAACCAGGTCTGAGGTTCTGTTTGATGTCAGTGGAAAGGAAGGTGGGTGGGTATGATGGTGTGGTGGGTTCAAGGCTGTGTTGGGAAAAATAGACAGCTGGAGTTTAATAGGAAGGGCTCTTTTCTTTTATACTTCCTGCATATTTAGAAATACAATACCAATTCCGAAGGAAATGCAGAAAACCTGTCTTGTTGGAGCAACGCCTCGCAATGCATTTGGTGAGCAGAGGAGCACTTCTTTCAGCTGTTGATTATCAGTTAATGTGGCATAGGATGTTACAACACTGCTGATCTGTTATCAGTCAGAAAAGGTGATCAGTAACCTAATGTCCGACTCAGAGATCTTTCTAAAATTCATCATTAGAATGAGTGAAGTTCTTCTCATCGTTGTCATGTTGCTGTTGGAACAGAGCGCAACATTGTTCCCTTTACAAATGACAGCCACTGTCAGATAGACAGCATTAGTGAACACAAGGGGGGGAAGCTTCCTCCTTTTTTAAAGCCACTGTCAATCTTATTTTCTCTTTCTTGTTGCACAGCTCCTCAGTATTCATTAAAATCATTTAGAGGTACATCAGAAGTCTTTGTAAAATGCATATGTATTTGGCCTGTCATCTCTTGAAAGATGCCTTCATTATCTTTTTATTTGTTGCAGGGACATGATGTCTTAAAAAACACTATATGTTGTGCAACTTTTAAATAATCATAATTGCATTCAGACTCAGATAGAAAAAAATGTAAATTAAAAAGTAATTTGAAATGGCATGTGAATGCTAGCTTTAGCTGCCTCTGAAGGGTCATCTTAAATGACATGCATGAAATATGTATAAATTGATAACACTCCCATTTTTCTCCTTGCCTGTTCCTCTCCTAGTGGAGAATCTTCGGATTAAGGCATGCGATCAGGATCCTTACCTTTATTAAACCAGATGATGTATTTCTGCAGCACTTGCATGAATCCATAAGAATGCAGCTGGAAGTGAGGCAGGCTGAAAGTCAGTGTGGGTTAGAGAAGAAGGTGATGAGAGTTTGAAATGATAGAAGGGGGGGATAAAATGGAAATTGTTAATACACCTAGAGGCTTGGACACGGTGTGATATAAGATATTTAGCATAAACGGTATGGCGAAGATTTTTACTAAACGGTATGGCAGAGATGAGGAGTTGCATTAAGAAAAGGACGAATATAGCTTCTCTAAAAAGTATACCGTCTCAGTTCTGGGCTTTAGTGGAAGTTGATAAATAATTCCTCCTTGTGCCTTCCCCTATATTCAATTTACACAAGCTAGAACAAGGTGGTGGAGGCAAAGGGTGAAAAATTATATTTGTGTGTGGGTCATCCACACTCTGTGAACTATAACACCTCAGGGAACAGACAAACTTATAAGTAGGCTAAAATAAATGGTTCCAAATGGTTAACATGGGCCGAATAATAAATAAACAGATTTGTTTATTATTTGTACAGGGCAATTTGTAAAACAATGCACAGTTTTAAGACAATTTAAAATATTTTTATCTGCCTAATTAAAATTAATGTCATTTTGCACCTTCATACACAAAAGCTGGAGAATTTATTTTCTATCTTGCATATTTAGTTTTTTTTTTTTACTCTTAAGCTATTAGGGATATTGTGTAGATGTGTTTTGACACAGTTATGTCTTGCACCAATTAAATGTGACACACAAGTTCTAATTCAGTCTGCCCTTGGCTGGAGTATACAGTATTTACACAACCTGTACATAAATATTTATGTCCTTTGCTGAATTCATCAGAATTTATCGTGCAAACTCTAACCACATCTCATTCAGAGAAATTGGAATCAGAATCAGAATGTTATTCAAAACACTGAATTTACCGTTTTGTTTTGTTTGTGTTCTTTCACAAAGATCATACAAGAGTGTCAATGATGTACATCCCCAAACAGATTCTTTAAGCTGTTTGTATTTCTGCAGTCTTTGGTTTACTTTTCTTCCTTTTTTTTGAAATCACACAGATGTATCCAGAAAGAACCTCCAAATTATCTTCATCTAAATCTCAACACTAACATTGAATGGCTGTGTGATTGAAGACTGAGCAGCTGCAGTGCACGTGGTTACAATACACAGCCTGAGTGCGTGTGTGTGCACGTCTGTGTGTAAATATCGGAGTGCGCTTCTGGCTCCATATCCACCTGCTGTTTGGGTCGATGTGCTTCAGCGAGCACATGTGCACATTCAGGTGTTCTGTGGGTAGGAGAAGCAGATGTGCTTTACACGTTGTGGCGGCTGCATGTAATCTGGATAATGAAGCTGATGATTAGCATCCCCTAGATGCAATACTGTGGCATTGCAGCCCGCTCATTTTTTTTTTCTTTCATTCAGCTCTGTTTTGTGATGCTAGCCTTTTGGCTGGGCATATCCAGAAACACACAGATCAAATGATTTGAATTGTTCTCCACCTATAATTGCATATATGCAGATTTTATTTGAGCACCGTTGAAGTTGAAATTGCACAACTCAATTCAGTTATAATTCAATTACTCATGTTTAGAATGGCCACTTTAACTTGTGGGTCATTCAGTACTGTGGTGTTTTGTTATTGGTAGAAATAACAAAACAGGTAGAGTACATAATCATAATCATGTCACGTCCTTCCAGTGTTTGTCATCCCTTAAATTATAATTCCTTTTGTCTTTGAAGATAATAGGCCATAAATTGTCCTTGTTTG